TAACTAAAGAATTTATTGTGCGAAAAGTTATGGCAGTTTGCACCTGACAGGTGAAGTGTTCAGCCTGAAAGGGTTCACTAGAGCCTTGGACCACCTCTTTCTATCTCCGTACTACTACTCAACCTCATTATGCTTGTCAGGATCTCACATACATATAGATAGATCTTCATGTCACTTTATAAAACCCATCCTGCGGGGCTTTAATGCGAACGTTCCAGCAAAATCCATATATTTGTAGCTACTCCAGACTAAATCCTAGTGTCAACCAGTGACAACGATAACTAAGGTCACGCTACAAAAGCAATCCCATAAGTGCCCCAATCAACCGCTGCGCCACGTCGTCTGGCTCTTGGCGCGCCATCTCAATAATACTCAACAACTTCTTGATGCCAATCTGGAACTTTGATGATAGCGCATCGCTCTCAAAGCCCGCTTCGTGTAACGATCTAATGACCTGCTGCCGCTCCTGCGACGTGGAGAGGAGCTCGACTTCGCGGAGGATATATTCGAGTGAGTTGAGTTTAGTAATAGGAGGGACGCGGAGTTCGGAATCGAAGGTTTCTGTGAACCCAAGGTCAGAGAGGATCGGGCGTTGTGATGATGTCGCTATGATGAGCAAACGACGACTCTTTGGAACCAAATTAAGATGTGAAGGAAGAATAGCTAGTATTAGAAAGTACCTTGGGCGGTATCCTTCCAAACAAAACCAAGAGCGTCTGGAGCACTGCGTTTGAGAACCGTGCACCCATGGGTGTCCAGTCTGTGCATTGAATGAGTATATTGCCCCAAAGACTTAAAAAACACACACCAATAAGTCGCTCCATATTATCAACTACAATGACGCTGAGAGGACTTTTGTAACTATCAGCAAAGACCTTTGTGATCGCCGCAACCTTCTGGCTCTCTGAATATCCAACCATGTTATCAGGCGAGATCAATTTGATGAACGGGAATTCTGATGCTTGTGCAATCGATACGCCCAGCGCAGTCTTGCCAGCACCAGGAGGGCCATGCAGGAGCACGCTGACAAGATGTGTGCGTGTCGATGAGCGGACCTGCTCCACGAGTAACTCTCCCGATCGCAAGATCTCCTATGTATAGACGTTAGCAAAAGAGATTCTGGGAACATGATATAACAAATTCACATCAACCACCGAATCAAAATGAATGATCCCATTTTGTATAGCTTGCGCAAGTTCCTCCTCAGACACACCAAACGCTGGATGAACTTCGTCTAGCGCATTTAGGAAATCCCGGCGGTTGACACGTAGGTTCGCCACATCATCAGAGATGCCAGCGACCGTACCAACCTTGACATGACGATTCAGCGCGAAACTCGACGCGCTCTTGATAAGACCGCTGATCTCGGCACCCGAAAAGTTCTTGGTCGATGCGGCGAGCTCGTGCAGGTCGACATCGGATTCCATGACCGCGTTCATGCGCATCTTGTTTGTGTGGATGCCGAGGATTTGATAACGACCATTTTCGTCTGGTAAAGAGATTTCCATGTGGACCTCGAGACGGCCGGGACGGAGTAGAGCCTCGTCAATCATATCTTTGCGGTTAGTCATACCAATAATGAGGATGTTGTTCAGTTTGTCGACACCGTCCATCTGTTTAAGAAAGCTATAAGTATTGTATATGAGACTTTGAGATCTCGAACTGACTTTCGAGAGTAGCTGATTGACGACACTGTCACCGACGCCAGTACCATTGTTCGTAGAGCCACGCTGCTTGAAGATAGCATCCAATTCATCGAAGATGATGATGTGAAGGCCACTGTCTTCGCCCTTCTCCTTGTACTATGGTTGAATGTCAGCTCGCATTGAAATTTGAAAGGAGAGAAGAAGTATACCTCTTTCTCCGCGTCAGCGAAGAGTTTGCGGATGTTCTCTTCAGAAGCACCAACATACTTGCTCAGAACCTCGGGGCCATTGACAATCTTTGGCTCTCTTGCATTAAGCATCTTGCCAATTTGTCTTGCGATGAGAGTCTTTCCAGTACCAGGAGGGCCGTGTAGTAGTATTCCTGATACACTATAAGGTATTTTGGAAAAGGGGGTGAAAATTCAGAGACGTGCCTTTGACGTGTTCTATGCCAAGTTTCTCGACGAGACCGGGCGGGAAAACACGCGACGCGAATGCACGGCGGAAGATCTCAGCAAACTCTGAGTCGAGACCACCGATACCCATGTCCTCGAACTTGAAGTTGGGAGCAAGGATAGCATTTGGCGGGGCTCTGATCAATGACATAAGGGTCGAGGACTTGGAATATTTTCCTGGGCTTACTTTGTAGCACTCGACTTGATCTTGATCTTACTATCCGGTGCTTTGAGAATCGTGACGTCGGTTCTATCCATGATGATACCGAAATTACCAGGTTGCTGACCTCCAGAACCGCCAGAAGGTGCGCCTCGTCGTTGTTCGTCGGCTAGATCTAGTGTACTGACCGCCTTGACATTTGCTTTGAGAAACTGCCCGTGATATTCGAAAAAGATGATTCCATTGGCAGCCATGACGATGCCATTATACGCTTTCAAGAAGATTTTGGCCATGTCATCTGCGGAGAATACTTCTGCGATTTCACTTGCAGACCGGGCAAAGCCAACTTCCACGTCGATGGACTGGAGAAATGGAGGAGCGTTTGGATGTGGTGGTGAGGGGAGAGCTTCAACAGCGACTGAATCTCCGGTCATCGACAGCCCCATCCATTGTCGTTGAGCAGCAGACGTGCCAATCATTCTCGGTTGGAGTTTGTTAGCGTTATCATGCCTAAAACACGTTAGGCGATCTCTTCGAAAGCGTGTAAAGGAACATACTTGAGCGTTATTGGGAAGCTTTTATTGATAAGTACGTGTTGACCATCCGGAAAGTCAGTAGGATGGACTATCATACAATTTGTCAGGGCAAGTTGGTTATTCGGCGATCCTACTACTTCAAATCTGAGAAAGCCTCGGGATCTGCTGCATATAATTGCAGAGAGATGACAGACCTTCTGCTTCCACTTGCGCTTGCGCCTGAGAAGGAAGGAACATGGTGTTGTTTATTATCAAAGAGTGCATTCGAAGAATCGCTAAACTGTCTTTTCTCGTAGAATGCATTTGCAGGATCATTGTACGGGGCAGAAGGCGCATTGTACTGAGTCGACTGTGGCGGTTGTCGCATGCCAGATCGTGATGTCGTGGGCAAAGACTGGTCTATGCGTTTGTAGGTGCCGGAAGGAGGATGAGGGGGAGTGTTCGCGCCGCGATTGAAGAAGCTCATGGTCAAGTCGAAAGCACAGTCACCACTGCCACGATCATTGCCCGGTGGTCGCTGCTTACGTACGTAAAATCCACCACCAATGGCGCTTGTCTGCTACTTGCACATATGGCGGGAATGTCTGCCACCACTTCAACTTCAAGACTATCCGACTCTGTACCATTAGATGAGTCGTGTCAGCTCCTTGGGCCAACTGCTCTGGTCAGCGGCCGCTCTGGACCCACCCCATCGGTTCTGACTATCTATTTTAGGCAGTGCAGGCCGCCCTTGGTGTTTTTGTCCTTCTTTCTCTGGTGTATAAACGCCATAGGGAACCAATAAAGCGTCCATGGGCAATATGGTGAGTCAATCTCCTTTCCCGGTGGCGTAAGCGAAGTGGTTCAATCAGAGCGCAGGGTCTTCGATGTTTCTAAACAAGTCGCCGGCCAGATGTTCGTTCATGGTGCCAATGTCCTTGCTTCCGATATCATTTCGGATTACACGTCTGGCAATGCGTGTGTCTTCTACTTTCTTCATATTCTGCTAGATACAACACTTGGTGAGCCACCACCCGCTTGTAGATCATTCGTGATCTTGAACAACCACTGGCAGGTGTCGGGATAATATACCTCATCCTCCATGCCCTCACCAATATCATCACGAGAAAACTGAAGTGGGAAGGTTTCGAATCGGGCGTGTACGGTACTCCACCTTCTTTCAAATATTGGGCTCGACAGGCAGCAGTCTATGTCCTTGCGCTCACAACGATGAAGATCGTTGTCATTATCATCATTGTGACCGTTCCCGGAATATTTGACGTTGGAGAGTGGCTTCTAAGTTGGACACGCATCGGCAGCGGTGATTATGTTCAAGTTATATTGTACGACATCTATTATATCCTTCCCAAGCTTCAGCTAATCTTGCCTCCCATAGCGTTATGGGAATCTTCCCCATTGTGATGAACGTCCTTCAATTCTGGTTGATCGATTCGATAGTCAAAGCATCTACCAAAACACTAGCGCTCGAAGACGGCATCGATGCCACACCTCACGATCGAGAACCCTTGTTCAACGCATCAAACGATGATGATGATGGTGATGACAACTACCGACATCACGACATCGAGCACGCACGTCCGCGTCCACGTTCGCGCTCTCCTATTGCACCCAATCGTAAGCGCTCTACAGACTCTACAATACCAGAGGAGCGCAAAAGCCACACCGCTTCTCTAGACAACCCAGCCGATCACTCTTACCCCCCAAGTCTCTCCAATAGCCACTCCTCCATTGCTTCACAACCCAAACCCGCTAAGAAACTGCTCAACAACGCGAAGCAGCGAGTCGCACCGGCACCGCTGGACGTGAATCACGATCATCCTCGTGTGATGCCAGGTGTTAAGGTGAATGTGGATGGCGCAGACGATGCATGGACGGAGAGTTGGGGTGAACAGGATGATTGGGCCGATAGGGTCGGTGAGGAGGATTGGACAGGGCGAAGGCTTGAACATAAGAAGAATGCGTTACGGGGGGTTTGGGATAGAAATACTTCGGTTCAGGTGGGATCATAGTATTTGGATGTGATTTTAGGATTTCTGGTACTGTAGTAATATAACGTTAATGTACATACGCCACGTATAAAACGGTTACCGGTCTCCGTCCGTTTTCTTCCATCTCCTTGGAAGGCGAACGATACAGGATTATTGTACCAGAAAATCGAAGCGATCCTCGCAATAAACAAAAATGAATTCAATTTCTCCTATATAACCCCCGGCGGGACTCGAACCCGCAACCTCCAGATTACAGAAACCCTCTAAGGTAGAAGTCTGACGTCATAACCATTAGACAACGGGGGCCTTGTTATATAGTAATCCTGAAAAATTAGGATCCGGGACAATTCCGAGGTTGGAACTTGCGCACGAAAGAAAAACGGTCAGGCGTGCGCCTAACAATATCTAGGGCTAAGCTCAGCGTTTGTGAGCAGTCTAATACTATAGCTATTAATAACCACAAAGTGGACCAAAGGGGGACTGCACGTGAGGCCTCGAGATTTGACGCGTCGGCAAAAAATATTTCGGGCTGTACAAAGTCCACGTTGTGTACAGCCCCCAACCGAATGTCGGGACCTTCGGTCGTGGAAGATACCCCCAAGCCCAGTGTGGCTTTCAACTTAGAAACTATACTGAGTGACAACCACGAAGCCATCGAACACTCAGGGACGCTTGACAACGGGGTAACTGCTGTCGGATGGGATGAAGAAGGAACGGAGACCCAGGCCGCTGAAGGTTATTGTGTTGAGTGCGAAGGTCAGTTCATTTCTGATCCCGTGCATAGTTAGCTCATGGGTTTCGATGGTGTTTTCTAAAGATCAGCCTGCTCAGGTGCTTTGTGAAACGTGCTCAGATGCATATTGTGAGGTATGCTTCGCTGCACAGCATAGGAAGGGCACGAGGAGGCAGCATAAGTCTAAGCCTTTGTCTGGAAAAGGCGGGAACAAGTCAACGAAACCTGCTACCGCTAATGACCCCATGCAGGAGGATTCTGTAAGATGTCCCGAAATCAGTTTTAAGCAAAGCAACCAAGCATTCTATTTCACAGATGGATGTGGAAGACAATGGTGCACATGAGTCCGATTACGAAGAATGGGAAGGAATTAATCCCGGTCCTCCCACCACCGAAGTGCTTGGAGCGCAACCGGCCATCGGCGCTAAAGTCGGTGAATGGTTTGTGGACCGAGCAAAATACATTCCTCTTCGCCTAACATTGGTTGAACGCAAATACCTCCGCCTCTTGGAAGCTGCTCTTAATGTCTCAGAATATACCGACAAAATTGATACCATTGGCTTCGGACTGTCAAAAGCAAAGAGGATTGTGCAACAAATCCGGGAACTTTGCGCGATAATGTCAGGTCTTCTCCTTGCGGCGGATTACAAGCAAGGGCAGGAACTTTTTACAGACAGGGATTTTGAATCCAATGCAGAGTTTTACCAGTCAATATTTGAACTTGGGCGGAGACATAAGATCATGAACCCTGACAAGATGCGGACTACATATGGCAAGCTCATTTATCTCCTGCAGGTCGGAAGCGTTTCATCTTCTCGAACGCAAGTATGCCTTCTAACGGTTGCTGCAGGACAGTCAATCACACGATGTGAAAGAGCTGCTCAACTTTTCTTGCGTCCGGCCGATAAAAACCGTTTATTCAGTTTTGGAGGAGTACCGGGCGACCGACCTTCTACGAGACGATCTCATTTCCGTTGCAACCAAGGAAATTTACTCCGAGGGACGGCCGCGGCGAGACATCCAGAAGGATATTAAAAGCAAAGAACGAGCCATAGAAATTCTTGCAGCACGTTACGAGCGTGATGGGCTTTCACAAGAAAAATTACGACAATGCCTTTACTCAATCGGTGACAATCACGCCTTCTTACGTACGAACCGTGACCCATGCGAACGGATGATCAACTACTTGAAGGAACACTTCCACCCAACGCAGGCTAAAGATAGCAAAAGTAGCCTTGCCATTCGGAGTGGCAGAGATGGTGCTAGGCTTTCTCATGACCATGGCAAACAATACGCGTATGTACTCCAAAGCTTGACGCTTTGGAGAGAAATTCTACATGGTAAGAAAGGATATTCGATAATGCCTTCTCGAGCATCTGATGTGTCCATGTAGATATGTTCCATCTTTGGTCATTGGCGGAGCAGGACTTACTCGCCGAAAACGTCCCATACCGCCTGCGCGATACCGGCCAGGGCTTGAATCGCGTCCAGGCATCTCCAAAAACGTCTCGTATGATGCACAACATCCTTTACAAGGCACAGAAGAGTGTTGGCACATGGATAGGTTCAAGCGTTATCCACATGGGCGACCACAACGTCCCCAACGCTTTGATGTTTATTGACAAGTATACCCAAATTTACCGCATCCTTCTCCCCATTTGCAACACTCTTTCCCAAGTACCCTCCCTTGCTGCAAAGCCCGCTTTGCGTTCGTACATTGAGGACGAGTTTGGATCGACAGAGAATCTGACGCGAGAGATCCTGGGTGATTTCTTCCGTCATGGGTTTGATGGTTCTGGAGCGGACAATTTCTTCGATGCTGGGAGTTGCATCGATGGAAGGCTCACGAGTGCATGGAATTGGTGTGCCACGATCGAGAAGAAGAGATACTTCCATGTCTTTTTGTTGGCAGGTATGTGCGTTGAGTCTGCTGATAAGCATTGATCATTGACGTTAAGACTACAGGATTCGTGGGCTTTGATGGCGAATGGTGATTAAGGAAGACCTTTAGTTAGAATTCATCGCAAGACTAGACGTCTAGATACGTCAATTCATTACCCCACACCGATGGATATATAGATGTCGCATTTAGTATAGTCAACATCATTACAGCATCTTAGATCCTTACAGTATCCGTGATTGTTATACTGAAATATAACGAATGTTCACCTTCACTTCCGCGTTTGAGGAAGTAGCTCTCCGCCACACATGGGAATGTGCAATTCTTACGCCAACCAAAGTCTCATTCGAAGTTGTCGGACTTGCTCGTTATAAAAAAAAATTCATAACGATAGACCCTTCGAGTCTTCCTTGTTAAGTTGTTTGACTAATAATCCAGCTTCTGTCGTGCTTGCCGGAAAACAATCATTCATATGCTGTCTCTCGATGTAACTTTCTTTCAAGTCTACGAGGCTGTGATTACTTAAAATCAGGTGTAAGCTCTTGCTCGATTGCTAGATTTGATTCAAAGTCATTGAGTATGCGCGACCGGCGTTCATCGACTGTTCTTTTTGTAGCTACCTCAGCACCTGTGTGGTAATGTGAATGATAATTGTGATTGTTTCCTGGCAAGGCACGGCAGAAGCTGGATTCAACAAACTAAACAGGGGAAACTCGAAAAGTTTGCTGGACAACCCATGCAGTCCGCATAGGTAAAACTGTGGTCATGAGATGATGCGCCTCTAAACATTGGCTCTCACGGCCGTTGATAGCAGAGAAACTTTGTTACCATGTACAGCATGTTCTCATCGGTGAAGAGACACGACAGATCGCCGGAGTCAAATGATAGCATTTTTTTTGGATTCCGAGAATATAGAAAGACTTATCGCAGATAAGGGGACAATGCATCATTATAGTCCATAGCCTCACTTTCGACAAACGCCTTACGATGACTTGATCACACAGCCTACAGCGATCTCTGTCGAGCGAATATATCTGCACATCAGGTCTCAGGCTCGTGCCGATGAATTTTTGCCAAAAAGGCCCGCGTCATTCCCCAAAAATGTTATTACCCATGATCATGCTACATCTTGGGTCTCTCCAAGACCTGCTAATCGTTTTGCGTTTACCACGACATCTAGGATTCCGTTGAGGCCAGATTTCCACGCCAATAGCCTCTTTTGAAGGGCTTCCCACTGCTCTTTCTCAAATGTCCGCGCAGTAGCTCGTGTGACATATAGGCTATGTGTGGTTTGTGAAAGCTTGCCCCAAACCAACTGTGCCCGGATAACTAGATCTCCATGAGATATGTTTCGAGATAACGAGAAAAATATAGAGTACCATCGATGGCCCACTTTTCGACTTCAGCAAGATCAACTTGGAGAGCCTCGGCTACTTTTGAATATGGTAGATTACGACCAACATACTGGAAGGCAAGAGAGGCAAGTGTAAGCAGTCGGATTTTATGTTCTAGTCGCGAGCGATCCAACTCTGTACGACATTAGAGACTTGTTCAAGAGTATGTGGTGACAATACACACTGTGCTTGTTGAGAGCATCTGGGTGTGAATCTACCCAAACATTAAACTCTTGAAGGCCATCACTGAGGAATATCTGGAGAAGGGAAAATAGCTCGTGGTCCTTTGCTGATATAACTGCGTCAAGCTTGAACAGAGGATCGAAATCAAAGACGTTGGGGAGTCTGAGCGCGGTCGCAATTAGATCGATAGCACTTTCCTGGGCACCAGGTGACGTCGCCGGCAATGTTTGTACATAGAGTCGCTCATATTCATAAGAAATTTCTCTAAAAGAAAATAATGAACGATGAAAGGTAAGGGTCGTACATGGACGCACGGTTGCGACTCCGCCTCGTACGCGCCAGAAATTGTTTTGAGGAAGGAAGCTTTCTCGGTTGGAGGGACAGTCCATTCGGAGAGCCACTTCTCCACATTTGTACGGGTAATTTGGAGTACGTCAAGGTCGCCATTGGCGCTGGATATTTGTACAAGGGAACTATAGACCAGAGGTCGAATGGATGATGTGTGTTCAGTGGCGTTGAAAAGGTTTGATAATCTAAAGAGCGTGTCGTCAATAATTATTGCCTCCGAAGCAGATGTAGATAAATCATCGTACATGCGGTACTTGAGGAATTTCTGGGTTGCAGGTTCGACTATAAGAAGTTGAATGAAAGCATTCACGTAGTCCTTGGTCTCAGGCCCATCAGACGCGTACAAAGAGTACAGATGTGAAAATAACAGGTTGAAGAAACCTTCAATTTCTATTTCGGACAATGAACAGAGCGAATTTTCGAGGAAAAAAAGTGCACACCTTTCTCCCCGCCATCACCAAGGCCCTTCACTTCAACCACCACCATCTTGAAGATATTACGTTTCCGTTCAACATCGTCCTCAAGCGATTTTCGTCCCTCAGATTTCTTGAGGGCTTCTTGGAAAGGACGTATGAAAGCAGCACGTTCTTCTTCTGATCGATTTCGAACAATGTAGTTAACCAACTCTTGTATCTGGTACAGAGATTGAGATCACATAGACAAAGGCCTTAGTTAAAAGCTCTTGCCTGCTCCTCAAATGTTCCTTCAGCGAAGACTGAAACCGAGTCTGTTCCAGCCATTGTTGAGA